AAGAGGAATGTATGGTGGGGAAGGCAGGAAATCTTAATTCAGATGTCTTCACACATACTAAGCCAAAATTCAGCTTTAAGACACACTACAGAAACCATCACCCAAACCTACTCTGAATTCTGGTAACCACATAACATTGCAACTATCAAATTTAATGCTGGGTAGAAAATGGAGGAAAAAAATAATAATTCAAGCAATGCCCTGCAGAGTACTTCCAAAGAAGGAAGTGCCACTCCTGGATAAAGCCAAGAATCACTGATCTGAAAATTTCACAATGGAATGGACCTCTCGTCATCCGCAAGCCAAGTTCTAACCATTGTTTAGCCCGGGACTTTGAAAAAGATCAAAGACTGACCCTCTTTTTTCTCCTATGGGACAAGCAAGAGGAATTTCTTATTACTATACTAAGGAATTTTCCTTAACACCCAGAGACCAATCTTCCCACTTTTCATTTCAGGAAAGCGGTAAACAGACACACAGTGCTGGGATTCACAGCAGTAGTGAAACAAGTGAACGTATAAATCCATTTCATTTCCGAAAGGCCCAAGCGGGCTGGCAGGTAGTGCCTTGTTGCATAAGCAGTGCCAGGTGCAAAGGCAAGCAGGAACAACAGGTTCGTGTAACAAGGGGATGTGAATCCTGCCTTCTGCTTATGCAAGTCTTGGGGAACTGAGTGGAGTTTCAGAGCAGCATCTCCAAAAAGCTGTAAGGAAAGGGCATCCATCCAAAATAGGTATGACACCTGACCTGGCTACTGAAGCTCAAAGAGCTGTAACCTAAACATGTACATGCTGGCAGGCAGTCCAACCACCTGGTAAATTTATATTTGTGTGTGTATGTGTGTATATATATATATTTTTTTTCCTTTGGTTATAACCGAAATTTGTTTTAAAAGCCAGCAATAGAAAAATTTCCTAGCACTCAGAATGATCCAGTCTTAACAGACTATTCCATAAAGATGCAATGTTCAGGAATAAGGTCTCTAGAGCAATTCTAACCAAGCAGTGTTTCACACAGGAGAGGAGCCCACTGCTTCAGTCAGTGCAACTGGAACAGACCAGAAGGCCCAGTTCATCCTATTTACCACATTGTACATGTAGATTATCAACTACTAAGACAGTCCATGAACCAGCAATAATTTCATGTGGTTTCAAAAGTATTTGAAGTTAAGCTTCCAGGTTTATTTATCTTCTTCTCCCTTGTTTTCAAGTTAAAAAAAAAAAAAAAAAAAAAAAAAAGCTTCCTTGCATACATTATAAAATTAAGGCAATAATCCTTCTATAGTAATGAATCTTAGAAATGGAATGAAACTATTCTGAAACTCTGAAAGATGATTGTATAAGAAATACTAATTAAAGCTTATCTTTGTCCTAGCAAACCGTTTTCACAAATATTTAGAAGTAAAAGGCCAAAATCTTGGAAGTTTCCATTTCTAATTAATTTTATCTTTGCAGGCTTTCAACCAATTGCAAAATTAATTGCCTAAATCAGGATGGCATCCATAAACATCACAAGATAAAAGGAGTCAAGTTCCCTTTTGTTTATTACCATCTCACTGCCCTCCAAACAAGAAAGGATATTCTTAATGCAACTTATAACCTTGACCAAGACGGACTGTTTCAGCAAAGTGCCCACCAGGAAAGGGAAACCTGTTTTGTAGGCACCAGTGAAGTAGGGAGATAAAAGGGTACTGAAACATGATTGCAACTCATGAAGTACAAGCTTAACTTCAATTCTAACACTGTCTGAGAAGAAACACAAACAAAAAACCCACAACCGTTTTAATTTCAAATTTGACCATAAGCAACCAAAAATGCCCTTGCTCAAGTCTTTGAAAGAGAAGAAAAATCTCTCATAAGGATCAAAGAGAACTACAGAAAAGTTTGTCTTTGTTCAGTTAGGGAAGTCTGGGTTTCCTACTCTCCTCCACAGCCCAAATTGTCAGTGTACTTTCTGATACATAAGAAATATTTGACAGTTCCTACTGTAGATGAAAGACTTAAATAGTAAACTCTTCAGGGAGAACCTTTTCGGACATTGTCCACCAAGGGGCCCTGCCTTGACAAAGGTTTCAACATTAAGTACTTAAATAAGCAAGAATCTTCACCATCTATTTTTTGGTTCTCCAGTAGTTCTTAGAACATGGATTTTAGCTATAAAACCTCACATACTCTGATCACAACCAGGCTGAGTTGAGAGCTTAGGAAGTCCTGAGCCATTTAAGGCTGATGATGCTAGAAGATTGTGCCCGGGGTGACTGACATGTCTTACAGAAATCCTTGTGGTTGTATTACTGGTTGGACTCACCAACTGCCAGCTAGTTCAAATAAATTACATCACTACTCAAGCAGGAGAAAAAACCTTGGAGGACCTTTTAAAGCACATCGTCATCTCCTCACTCCTATGAGACGCTGACACATGCCAGGTACTTCCACTTTTTAAGGCTGGATTTGCCACAGAAGATCCTCCTTCGAGTCAATGCAACAATTCAACACATTTCTTTCTTATATATATAGCTTTGCAGCACGAGCTCAGGAAGCCCTTTCTCTACCTCACCAGTTGCCAAATGATTTCAGTGAAATACAAAATTTTCATGCTAAAAAGATGCTAAAAGTTTGCACTTCTACAGTTGTCACATGCAAGCCATTTAGAATGTGAACAGATCAAGGTGACAAGGTGTGTAAAAATTGAATTAAAATACTGGAGAAAAAATACAAAACCCTATGAACTCCAGATCAACTACAGTCTTCATACAATGCCCAATACTCCTCCGATTATATTAACTTGACCTTTTAGTTCTATTAAGATTTATTTTATAAACTCAAAAAGCAGTTTGATTTTTAAAGGACCAACTATAAAGCTACAGGACAGCTGGTATCAAACAGAGTGTTGAGAGCAGTTTGTGCTCCAAAGGTTTGGGGAGACAGTTTGAAGCCAAAAATCTATCCCCATGATCATCTCGTCTGATTGTACAATACCATGTCATTTTTTTCTTAAGGTGCATAGACCTGTCAACTTTAAAAAAAATACATTGTTTTTAAGGATTCAAAGCCAATAAATAGACAACACTTCTGCTACTCTAATTTTTAGCTATGCTTACTATATAAAACTCAACTTGCCTGTTTCGGCTTCTCAGAATTTGAGCTTGCATGACTTCAATGTCAGGATTAAGCAGTGCTCTCTACTGACTCCAAAGTACCAGTTTTCAGATGTAAATATTTACTTTTCATTATGAGAATATTCGCTCATCTTCTTTGGTAGTGATAAGAGTTTCTCAAAACTCACACTGCAAGATCTAATCTGCAACTGCAGATTTTGCTTTATATTCAAATATTGCTGTAGTGTTTTCAAGTGCAGACATCAAATCTGAATGTTCTTGTGGTAGTGGTCTTCCCCATCCAGCTATCTGAGGCAAAACAAGTTTCCTATTTTATTTATTTTTTAAAACATAGTTTCCCTTTGTACATGTTCAGTGTACCAGGCTTTTGAACAACTCCAAATACTCAGCATTGAAATGCTTCTCTCTGGTGGCATCACTGCCTCTGCATCACCGCTGACAGAGTCTAACATGTACAGAGTGTACGATCACTGTTCACAGGCACATTACCTTGTGATGATTTTTTTTGCAGCTATAGTTGTTCAGTTTGATGACCAAACACAGAACACTATCATGTTCTTATTTTCTATTCCTATTCATTTCTTCATCAAATATTAACAAACATTTGGTTTCCTCTCTGCTTCTTTTCTATACGTACACAACATTCAATCATTTTTTGTTGGACAGTAAAACTAGGGCTGCGTTCTGTTCTCTTAAATGCATCGATGTTCCAAGACTCCTAAGGTATTCACATGCATATCTAATATTTCTATCCAACTTGTAATGTCCTGTGTTACCCACAACTCCTGGACAGGGGAACTTCACATCTCCTGAGGGAACAAAGTTTAAAGCACAGCCACCTTTGGATCTCCTCCCAGGGTTTGGCTAGTCCACGATCCTTATTTCCAAAATTACCACTTCCATTTGTTAAGTAAGACAAGAGGCCTGCCATGTCCTTTGGATTGTGGTCCAGAGACTGTCAAACACTTTGAAATCTATCCCTAGTGGTGGTCCTCTTCTGTGTCACTGGTCACAGTAAACGCTGCCATTAATTTCACCACGTCACGGGGACACAACTAACACCAACTACGTACAGTGGAACCTAAATAGAAAATGAAGGAGAACAATATATCAATTTCAATTAACTACAGGTTTAGTTGCAGGCTACTCACTAGCAAACAGTTTAGGCAATCAGTGAATTAATTCTTCCATGCAACACAGCACGGACATATTGGCAAGGAGTGAGGCCCTCATCACAGCTCACTGGCAGCAGCAGCTGTTACTGAGGCAACTAGCAGACCCCTATGGAAGGGCTGAAACTCTTTAGTCATCACTGGATAAATTGCTTGTGTTCATTAGAGCAAGAAGTATTTCTTTGGAATGTACCTCAAAAGAAATTCTTGCTCGGTATTAACATTTTTCAGACAAACTGAATAAAAGGCACTGTTACTCGAGCAGTACATTTGTTGTCTCCAAGTGTTTAAAAAAAAAAAAAAAGGTTTCTGAACAACTAGCTACTGTTTCCCTAAGAAGGCTTCTTTGTTACCCCATAGTAATTTCATCTCTCCCTATAAAAGCTTACTTAACATAAAAACTGCTTATCCCAAAGCATGTCCAGAATCTCACCTTTATATCTATCTTTATATCTAAAATTATGAGTTAGTATAACACTATGCATTATAAAATTATACCATTTACTTCAGTCATGTCTGAACAGCTAGATTTTCAAACTATACAAAAATAAAGTGTATGAAATCTTACAAAAGGAGGACATTAAGACATTAATGGCTAATCCAAAAAATGTAACAACAACTTACACACAGCAGTAAGCATAAGCAATATAGCCTACAACAGCTTTTGACAAACAGGACCTCTGAAACAAGCATCAGCTAAAATTGGAACATTCCCAAGCACAATAATGTTTCCAATTTATTATCTTTACCACAGTACAAACTTTTACAACCATGTGTCCATTGTCTGTCAGTCTGTAAACAAAAGCTACTATTCCCCCTCCTCATCTAAGAGGGTGAATATTTTCAGTCCTCAGTCAAGTTTCATATCCATCACTTGCATAAGGAACAAGAGCCTCTCCTCTTGTTAAATTATCTATATATTTTATCATACAGCCTGCAGTGAAGTAAAATCACAGTGAAAGTCCTGGGAAAAACATGATCTTTACAGCAGGACTTGACCCATTCTAATAATAAATGCATCTAACAAAGCTTCCCATAATAAAAGCGTGGCATTTCCATTTCCAGAAATCGAGTCTATTAGAAATCCTAGGATCTACTTAAAAATGCCAAAAGATCTAAAAGTGAAAAGATCCATCTTCTCAGTCACTTGTAAGTCTTTCGGTTTCAGTTGCAGAGAGACTTTTCCAGTCTGGAAAACAGTAGTGCAATTCAATTAGTTCTACTTTTTATTTTCTTAAAGTCCAGTAGATAAATGTCCTAGCTCTATGGAAAGATAAGAAGATGTTCTGGTAAACAAGAAACTTTGGCAAGCCCAGACAGGCTTACTAGTCCATTAAAGCTTAGAAGTCCAAAGTGGCTTAAAAAAAAAAGTTTATGAATAAACTAAACCCCCAGAAATAAATAGGCAGAAATGACTGTAAACTGTCTGAACCTTTTAATGATTTGTCCTTGACAGCTGGCATGATCTTTGACAGTAGAGTCAGTTAAATAGAGCTGACCTACAGAGCATTCCATTAGGGCATTCAGTCTGGAATGCTCGAATGGAATTACATTCGAAAGATTTTTAAAAAATAGAGTTTTTATAACATTACTGTAGATTTTTTTCTGTCCATCTCACTTACATTTCTTCTTAAAGAGGCTTTTTATTTTTGATGGCTTTTTGTTTTTTTCACCATTTTGGTATAGGTCCTTTGGGATACTACTTATCCTAGGGAAAGGAGAGGCTTCCTGGTTGGGTTTACTGTCGCTGCTGGCTGAGGAACACGAGGTGTGGCGAGGCTTCGGGAGCGCCATCCCGCCGGAAAGCTGGTTCATGCTGCAGGACTTCTCAAGTATTCCGTTATACACTTTGCTCGCAGGGCTAAAGATCATGCTCTTTGTTTCTGCCATGCCTACGCAGTCAGGAGAGCCCCTGGAAATATCTGCAGTTAGAGAAGAGGAGTCTCCCGTAGATGACTCCTCCAGTGAGAGTTCTTCCCGGGATGCCTTCTGAGGAGAGAGTGCCTGGTACATCTCAAGACTTGATGGAGGAGACTGCTTCCTTCCAATGGATGAACTGAAGGAGTCGCACTCTGAACCTGTTTCCGGGACTTCCCTGAGTCAGAGAAAACACAGGAGAAACGTCAAACCATCTTTTTGTTTGCTTGCTTTTGAAAATAAAAAAAGAAAACAATTCAGAATCAATACCATTAGCCTGGATGTACCACCCACACATTTCCTCAGCAATGAGATGAGAAAAAAAAACATTAATATTTTAACTTAAAACATTTGGTAGATACTATAGTTAAAGAAAGCCACATATATAACAGCATACTCCTCTGCTTTTGCAGGTAGGTTCTTTCCTTCACCCATCTTAATTTTAATTATTTATTACATTTCTACTAACTGGAGATACAGTTGAGTCACAGTACTAAAGCTATAATGAAGCAACATTAAACCACTTGATTATCAAATTTTAAGATAACATTTCTGTAACCCTGTTTTGGTGGGCAGTCATTTGCATCTCACTTCAAGGAACAAAAACTATTTTACTAGTGCATGAAATCAGAGAAGTTATGAAATCAAATGAGATTTAAGCCTAGCATATGCAAAAAGTTTCTTCAGGACAAGTGTCCCTACCTTTCAACAAGCTCATTTGCTCCTTCCAAAAGGAATTTAACCTTTTCCTATGAGGCCATGTAACAAGAGTAGGTACACGCTCAACATGCTGTAAGAATTGTGTTACCATCCATCTTCTCTTCGCCCAGTAGCTGACATTGCTTTTGATCCTAGTTTCAGATGTAAAAGCCAGTAACATATTGTAATGGAGAATCAGGGTTAGTTCAGCGCACCCTGGCTTGTAACATTAGTTTCATACAACATGCTAGCTATTTACACATACATAGCAGTGAAGAACTTAACTCAGCCTCTAGTTCTGCACTGATAGTCACAGATAATCCTATCAGCGTTCCAAGTGCTGCTTGCTAGTCTCCATACCATTGCTTGTCAGCAGAGAAGTAAATGGCTTCTTCCTCCTCTTCAGTTCGATAAAGAGCAGGGCAGCTGGACACAGACAGGATGTCGGGGTCAGGGGAGTGCAAAGCCTGTTGAGACTGGGGAGACGACGGCACCACACTGCGCCTGGAGCGGCACAGGCTGCTGCTCCTCGCCAGCGTGCCAGCAGGTTTCACAATGGACCCTGAGGCAAAGGAGAAAGGAAAAAAAAAAAAAAAAAAAAAAAAAAAAAAGCACACCAAACCCCCAGTGACATAAATGTTACTGGAAGCTACACTGAGTATCAGATGGCAGGTGGCTGCTACAGCCGCAATGATTCGTGTCAACCACCTTGCCATTGCTCGGCTGTTTCAAGAAAAGGAAGGTTGGCAAGTACCTTATACACTGCAGTTAGCTGAAGTACCCAAGCAACATCCCAGGGCTGCATCGGGGTGCTTGCAAAGTTACTACGTGCACCAAAAGTTCCCACTTACTGCCCTCTCTGAAGAGCAAAAAGAAAGACTCTACTGAAGTTCCCAACCCCTTGTGAACTATAAATAGTGCTGCTGAGATGAGTGTGTTGCACGATATCCTGCATTTTAATTCTGTGGTGATCTGCAGCTTAAAGAATCTCCAAAAATCTTACAAGGTAAGTAACCAAGGTAACCAAACAGCCATTTGAAATGCACTGCATCAGTTAGAAGCTACATTGAGACATAGGAGACCAATTATCATACATATACACACACTGTTAGACACGAAATATCTAACTCAATCTCACTGCAAGGAGGAGAATTTCCTATTTGATAACATTTTCTTTTTGCAGGCTATAATTTCAGGACATAAAAACACTAACAGGAGGACACAGCAACATAAGAGTTTACCAAGTGTCTAACTAGAAGTCACACAAGCTCCTGATACAATTCCTCCTTCAGAAGCCAATTTGACAGCAATGCTCTTTCAGAAATACATCTGTAGACCTATTTTCAGTCTCGGGATTTCTTTTACTCCTCCCCAAACTATCCCCTAGAATACATCACTTTAGACAAGACAGGCCATACCCTTACGTTCAAAATGTTTACCTAAAAGAGCACATTAAAGTCACAAATATTTTTCTCAGACAAGGATGTCTGGCCTGCCTGACACAAAACGCACCTTCCTTTGAGATGTCACTTTAGCCTCAGGTAAATTAGTGTCCATTGCTGGAATCTCAGAAGTTTCAGCTGCCATTCTGCTTTCAATGCAGCAAGTCAGAACTTAGCTGCACCTCACCAACACTCAGACTGTGTCTCCTTCCAGGCTGAACATAAAAGGGTGGCTCACAAGTCCAAGCATGACAGTTGTCATGTACAACTCAAACTTTTGATTTTACTTTTGATGAACTCTATACTGACCTGAGGAAAAGGCGTATACAGATCAAAAATAAGCTTGTGTCATAAAACGTTCCTAAAAAAGCAAGTGTGAACTGAGAATACAGAGACCCTTGAAAAAAATCTGGATTGCATATGTAGATAAATTAGATGCCACTGTTTGCTGATGTAACACGAAATGCACCATTACTGAGTTTTGAGAGAAATTATAAGCATTCTGGATATTTGTAAGTGCATATACACAGGACTCCAAAACTCTTGCTAAGCAAATGTAACACTTTACATTTACACTTAATGAAAATTAACTCAATACATCAAGGAAACAGTGCAACACCAATCACTCAGTAAAAAGGGAGAGGTTTCACTATCCCTTTCTCCTGAAGGCCTTGTTCTAAATCTAGCTCACACATTTCCTTAGATCCTTTTGTTCTTTAGCTAAGGATTGATTAAATAGATCTATTACTTTACACTGCTTTAGACTATCACACTGCTTGCAGAGGCACAAAGAAGGCCGACAGACTTCCAGCTCTGTTAATCATGAGATCAAGGATGCTAGCCAGGAAATGGTCCAGACCAGACAGGTCAGTTTAAGTCCAGACACTGAAACAGTCTTGCTTGTAATGTACAGGCTGTAGGCTGTATTTTGCCTGAAGTCTCATGGATGAGACAAGTCAATTTGCTTCTGTGCCTCATGTGCATTTGTCCTTTTTTTTTTTTTTCTCTCTGAAGGATGGGAATAATTTAGCAGTTACCAATCCATATACATTAATTAGACTCCTCCTAAATTGCTGCTCTCAAGAACAGATCATTTAACATGTTTTTTCCCCTCTTTCTCCAATTCACATCTTTCCAAATTTTTCGCTGAGTACAAATAAAAAACATATACATTTTTAGCTTTCCAATATAAGCTGCTACTACTTATGTGATCATTGCATAAAAGCAGGCTCTACGCAGAAACTCAGAAAACACGTTGAAAGTTCTTGTAATTCTACTAAGACATCTTCTATCACTGACTGACACAGTATTAATTATCTAGACTTCCAAAACAGTCAAAAGGGGCTAAATGGAAAGAAAAATTGAAATCATAGTTTCATTAAGCATAAAGCAAAGTTTCACTTAAGTATGCCCTTATAAACTGTACAGTCCTTCTCTAATCCTAGTTCCTCTGAACCAACTGCATTTTGCTCTCTGGGTTCATTCTCACGAAATAACTGAACAAGTAGGCTGAGTATTCTTGGAGAGCATGACTAAGATTAGTGGTTTAGGGGTCTGATGCATTAAGTGGTTCAGCATTTTAAGCAGTCTGGAAAGTTCTGATAACAAATGGTGTACTTCATTTTGAAACAGAACTATACCAAAAAATGTTGACTGTAGGCATCACAAATCACTGTTCATCATCTTCATTAAAAAAAAAAAATACCGTTGCAAAAGTTTAAATCAAAGCCTTGATTGTAAAGGACAAGCTGAAGTGACACTATTCTTTAAAAGTGACTAAAACATACAAGTGTTGCATGAGGATTAATGAACTTTTTTTAAGGCATGTAGGGGCATCAAAATATCGGTCCATTTCAAAGAAATTAGTGCTTCAATCTCACTAAAAGAAGTCAGTTAGGTAGCAACAATTTTCATTATGCCCCTTCTCAAATACCACTCTCATTTCTTCTGAGAATGTCAGCCCAGGAGCAAAAGTGTACAAATATGAGACAGAGGTTTCTTCCCTACTCATTCTTCCTTGTCTCAAAAGCTATGTGGGAGCTCCTCTTTTTAATTTGCCTCTGGAGTCCAGTTAATCACATCTTCCATAAAACACGTTCTTGTATTGACGCAATGACTCAAGACACAAGGGTGGTCCAAATCCCCAGTGTATATCTTTTCAACATAGTTTAACTGAAGTTGCATTTTCCTCCCTTCAGCATTTGGCCTCTTAGCCTCACTCCCAAACAATCCAGTGCATCCCAACACAAACATTCTGTCTGAAAGTTTCCCTTGGACAATAACAGGACTTTGTTGCAGCCATTAAGGAATGTTTTGAAAGCGCTGCCTCTCTCAAAGGGTGCGATCTTCTTAGTAGCTCAAGGGACCCCACAAAACCTCCACCCCATCCTCCGTAAGATAAAGATAGATGAGCTAAGAGAAATTTTGCATTACAGTTTACAGACTTTGGTTTAGGACCAACCCAAGCATGACAATCAGACTTTCAAATTCTTAGCCGCCTTCTCCTAATGATCCCTCTCTCCCCTCCCCAAAAATAATGAGGGAATAAAAGTTTATTCTGTACCTTTATTGTAAACCCCAGCAAACCATTCTCTACAAATCTCAGAGGATGAACTCAGAAAACTACAGAGCATTTTGTTCCATGAAACTTTAGTCCACTTGTTTTATTCTAGCATTTCTATCCCACCTGCCCTTACATTTGCCTCAATTCCCCCACCTTCACAACTTTCCTCCTTTTGTTTTACTGAACACGCCACTTACCATGAAACTGGGAAACTATTGGAGGAGTATCTTCATCTAAGTCATCAACTCCCCCTGCAATCGGGTAAGGAGGAATGGAAACGCGAGGCATCACCACCCAGCTGTGTTCAGAGTACAGCGAGGATGTCAAGCTCGGCAGCCCAGAATTGTGTGCTATTTGAAAGCCACAAATCTTCTCAATCTGTTGCCATCGATAAAGGCGCTCTCGCAAACACGTCGTCAGCTCAGACAGAGCCTTTCTGAAAAAAGTACACAAGATGAAAACTGAACGTACTGTTCTTACTGATGCGACAAAGCAACGGCCAATCATCCCAGCACACCAGAAAGCATTAAGATGGCAAGTATTCCCACTACAACTTCCAATTTCACTTAAGAGTGCAAGAAGCACAGAGGCTAAATTCCATGACACAACTCTTCACAAATTCCACTGCTCCAGGAATAAGCGACAATAAACATACATGCTGCTAACTCTTACTTTGCTTCAAGTATTTTATGGTCCACATCATCCAGAGAGGAGCTGTGTGCAACATGCAGTGTTCCAAATACAGTGCTTCGCTTCTTTTTTATCTTTTCTGCCTGAAAAACAAGATAAAATTAAATGCATAAGCCTAGAAGTTATCCCACTAATGCAGGTGATAAAACACTAGCAATATTGACATGTAGCATATATCTCAAAGCAATCCAAATTCTCATCCAAATAATTTGCACCTACTAGTCCATATATCAAAGCAACAGATCAGAAAAGTCTTTAAGTGGCTAAAAAATAAAAGTTAGTACCTCATCTTTGGCAATTGCTAATTGCATTTCTGCATGTTGTCTTTTGATATTGTAATATTGTACTTCAACTTCATGAGTTAACTGCAGCCACTTCTGCAAAGCTTCAGGAACAGACCAGTTGCTTCTCAGCTCGAACTCCTTCTCAGCTTTTTTTAAAGCCATTCGAACCTATCAAAACATATAAAAGTTTCATCAAGACCATCACTAGAACTGACAGCAGAAGAAAGTGAAACATAAAAACATTTTCCCCCCACCCAGAGTAATAACACTGAAGTTTCACAGAGCATTAATGTGTGCCACTGGGTGTTAAGGCAGATCAGGCGTTTCTGAACCACAGCATATGAATTTCCATATTCTATATTACTCTCAGATTTTATTCCTATCAGTATAGTCACACACCTGAAGTTTCAATATACTTCTAATGCTATACATTTTTATTTAGTACTATAAATCAGATCTATTATCATACGGAAGAACGCAACAAAGCTATTATTTCTGGTCTGATAATAAGACAGTAAAAAACTTCCTTCTTGTTTGTATTATGTTCTCTAAATTCAAATACATTATGACCATAGCCTAATACACAAGCTGTGTTTTTTTTGCTTTGAGAGTATTTTACTAGATAATGCATATGATTGATGGACAATGACAATCATTACGTGACTTTATATTTTTTCATTCAAAAATCTAGCATCAGAGAAATATTATTTTAAAGCACTACTAGTCATCAGGTAACATCATGAATTTAGAGTCAATGCTAAAATTACAGTTTGTAGGTACCTGTACTAGCTCCTCCTCTGCATATTTGAGCCTGCTCAGCTCACATTCAGCTCCTTCCCTCAGCTCTCTTAGTCGATGAGCTTCCCGTTTTGCGTCATTGATTTCATCCATCATTTTGCGCTCCAGATTTTGCTTTTCTACAGCAACATTTCTGTTTTCTTCTTGTGCCTTTTCAAGCCTGAGGTGAACAAGAAGAATGAGAAAATACACAGCATGTTTGCTATAAGTCTTGTTATAAGTCAACAGAAGGAAAAATAAGAATATGCAAACAGCATGAATCAGCAGCAATTACATCCAAGCCTGTAAGTAAACTGCAGTACACAGTGCCAGACAAAATATGCCAGCTTTAAAGTGAACCTCCATTAAAGATGTAAAGACTATAAAGTGTCAAACAAAATGGACCTACAGAAGGTGCAGATATAGCAGAGAAGCCACCAATTACCCATATGCTAAATGAGCAGTACAAAATAAAGGGTCAAGGTCAGTTAAAAGAAAAAAAGACAAATAAGAGATAACCTAATTTCTAATAAAATGAACTATAGATTCCAAGGCAAATTGTAATTTTATGAAAAAATACATGCTTCTAACTCACAGAATCACAGAACAGTTGGGATTGGAAAGGACCTCTAGAGATCATCTGGGCCAACCTCTCTGCTCAAGCATCCAATTAGTTTTTAAATATCTCCAATGATGGATGTTATACAACCTCTCCAGGCAACCAGTTTCAGTGTTCGACCACCCCCACAGTAAAGAAGTTCCTTCTTGTGTTTAAGTGGAAAATCAATACATAAAAAGACAACTGAAGTTCTGTATTCTCTACTTGCATCTTCAGGTTCATACTACATTCTAAAATATTCAGACACAATTCGAACCACAAAAATACATTGTTACTAAAATAGGAATTTTGGTGAAAAGCGAAGATGAACAAAATTCAAAGACAGCTTAAAAACAAATAAGTTACAGCTTTAAATGATCTGTATTTGTACTTCACCTCAAAATAAAAACAGGGACAACTCACTGAAGAGTTGATCTTTTTTTTAGTTCTTATACCTTTCCTGTAAGTCAAGAAGACTTTGCTCTGCTGTTTGGAGACTTTCCAAGTCCTTCATCATTTTTGTGATATGTTCTCTTGAGGTTCTGTTCTGAGTGTATGCAAACCAGCAGCCACCAAACCCAATCACTATAGAAACCGTTAATACAAAATCCTTCATCCAGTTGTGAGGGGGACCTGAACAGAGAACAACATGATCATTATCTACATTGTTGGTACAGAAAGCCACCACGGAAATTGCATGTTCACAGCCTAAAGGTGATAGAACCCAAAGCTAAACAGAATTCCAGCTCATTTATTTCAAACCTCATCTCCAACAAGCCCCTTTCCAATGCATCTGAGAGGATTTCCAATGCCACATGCTAAATTTATACTAAAACTTTACATCATGTAGAGCAAAGCCCTATAATCTTTTACATGACACAGTCCATATCTTTATACAATGAGCTTAATTATAGCCTTACAAAGTGCAACCGGGAAAACTAGGAGAAACTTTAAAGTTCAGCTTCATGTTTTGAGTAAATTCACATGAGTATTTTCTGCAGTATCCAAAGACAAGATAGAAGTTCACTTGCCTGAAATAAAGCAAATTTTAAAAGGAGTATATTGCTAGTAGCAACTCTCAAAAAGCAAAGTCGGAATTCTAGAACTGTCTTATCTAATACGTAGATGTAATTCGCTTGTGCGATTTTTGCAGTTTTATTAGCTTTTGCAAAACAAACATTTAAAACACAACTTCTGTCAACTCTGACAGCAAAACATGCATTTAATTTCCCAGTCTGAAGAGGTGGCCTAATTGTTGCAATATAACTAGTGTAGCACAGAGCTCATGCTTTGCTAGGATCAGTTTTTCAAGTATCTGGGGCTTTGTTTTGAAGAATAACCACTTTAACACAGGACTTAACCAGGCCTTGGATTTTTGTCTGTAGGGCTTTGGCAAGAGCCATGGCCTTGCCCTAATTCTGTTGACTAAACTAACTGCAAAGCATGAAAGAGCAAAGCACATTTCAGATCATGACAGTTACAACGTAAGAGTTGCAAATCCATCAACCGTTTGGTTGTGGGTCTGTTTAACATCACAAGGGCTATGGGGACAACCGTGCCACAGCTTATCGGCTCTGGTAAAGCATTGTACAAGGACTTCACTGGCTTCAGGGCTAATTAGTTTTCACCAGCAGCAAGAGAAAAGAAAAAAAGAATCTCAGCTATGGAAATGCTAAGTGTGCTAATGGCACAACTAAGCCACTATGGCAAAACCAAGTGTCTCCGAACTGCTCAATGGAACAGTGAGCATTAAAGATATACGCAAAGACCAAGCGTTAGACCCCCTGCCCCAAAAACCTGACTGCCCAGGGCTGTGCTGACTTGGAAAGAGTCACTCCCTAGTCTCCTAAATGACCATGCAGCTCTCAGAGGGCTTCCTAATTCAGGGATGCCATCAAGCAGGCCTGGGGACCACTGCGGGTAAGGAAGCATCTCCATGAGCTAAAATGGGGCAGATGCTGAGCTGTAAGATTAAATCCGAGCATGCTTAAGCCCAAATCTGTCCAAAGAGCCTGGGACTGGCTCTGTGCCACTACCACTTCCTTGTTTTGGAGGACAGGCTGTAACATTAGCTAGAAGTATTAACTTAAGCACAGCCAAAAACATACAGAGGGTGGGGTTTTTTTGTTTCGTTTTTGGTGACAGAAAAGCCAACATATATCGGTCTAGGAAGGGATATACTTAAATTACTGCAGAAACTTAAATATGCAAGTGGACAGCTCACTCAATTCTGACACCTTGAGTGTTTTTTCCTTCCAGCTCCACAACACATACCAAATAATCCATCAATGCACATCTACAAAACAAAATAAGCTGTCCTACATACAGCTAGAAATGTCACTGAAACTATTTTTTATTGAGTTCTTACAATTCATAATAAGAAAATGAAACAAAAAAAACACTAACGTGTGAGTGGTCCAAACAGAACAACATCCAAGGCTTTCAGCTGAAGCTTCTGCCTGTGGCTCCGGTCAATTATTTTCAGGTGTGAGATCATGAAAGCATGCTCGTTTACTGCTATCCTGTTAATGAGACAACAGTGTTACCTACTTCTTCATAAGCTACATCCAGAACTGGTCAAAGAAGTGGACTCACTTTTCCACAGAGTTTTATACAGGTTGTAGCGACACACTTAGAACAGGATATATGGTAGAGCGGCAGGGTATTTTTTTTTTTTTTTTTTAAATCAAAAAGCATCTCAGCATGTGCTAGAATAAGAAGTATAGAAACATATTTTCTGTTTCCTGTTCTTTACTTCCTGAAACAGTTTCAAAATAAATCTACTTGGCATAAATAAATGGTACCAGCTTATCTGCAGGTCTTGTGACACCAATTCTTCTAAATGCAATATTGAAATCTAGTAGTTACGCTCAAGAGGAAGGGTTCTGTCGAAAGTCCTGCTGTTTACCCAAACAACACACTAGAAACTGCGCAAAAGAAAGTTAGATACCACAAACAATCATGACTGTCAATAAAAGCTTCAGCAGCAAGACATAAGGTGAAAGGAGTGGCAGGAAGTAAATTTTATCTTTAAATAATTTGGCAGAAATAGAAACAACATTTCTTCAGAAATGCACTTTTCTTGTATTTGGGCACATCTGCTTGGCCATTAGGTTCAGAGAGTTGTTCCACAAATGAACAAAAGCAGCAACCTACAGGGAATCATCTGAGACTAATACAGAAGGAATATTCACCTGGGAAGTGTTGTTCCTTTCACATTGCTGTCTCTAAAATTCTTTTCATATTGGGGCAATTCAACAAATTCTGACAGCCACTGAAGAGTCTCCTCTTGCGTCCAGTTATGAACTGGAAGAAAAATGTCTGCTTAATAACATTGATAATCAGAAACAACAGCAGCGTGATTCAAAAGACAAGTGATAAAAAAGCAGACTACAGTGAGTAAGTTTTTTTTTTTTTGAATATAACTATAGATAAATTAGTACTCACCTTTGCTAAAAATGTTTCTGGCATTTTGCCATTTTTATTATATGCTCCTCACAGAAGTAGTTTAGGCAGGTTTTAAACAAACAAGTGGGTCACCAAAAGCAACATTTCTTTATTAAAAATTTCAGAAAATAACTTAGCTTCCTCTCCTCGCTCCCTGGAGTAAAAAGGTATCTTGTGACTTTTAACTACTGATTTGAACACTAAATCTTTTTTCTTTGGCCTCTCCCAGGACAATGCCTTTTGTTTTTTACCTGTTTTTGCCAGAATGTTTATAGCAGTTCATGCCTTCAAACGACAGAAAACGGGGCAGAAAAGATTGAAAGAAAACATGACAGAACATGTCCATACGACATGACCATTTAAGTCACCCCCAAATATGCCCAGGACATCCTGCATTACACACAGTAATAATCCCACCAAGAAAAAAATATTTTAGAGTGTGTAGATTAAGTCAATTTTTAACTGGAATATTATTCATAATAGCAAGAGTCTACATAGCCTTCCATAGCTATAGATGCTATAAAAAAAAAAAGGAAATGCTATCCATTGATTTTGCTATAAATCATCAGCTTCTGGCCATTCCAGGTCCACAGCTGCTGCTGCTTCACACTGCCAAAACCAGGGAGCAGCCGTGCTCTCCTCCTCTACGCTTTGTAGAAGCTTTTCTGCAATGCAAAACACACCCTGTGACTGTCTCCTCGGGCATAGGTACATATTTGCATAAATAAATATTTGCCTGTTCAAACTGTACTTGCATCTGGTAACACTGGGCACAGGTTTCTTTGGAAAACTTATCCTGAAGGCACATGCTCAGTGAACTTGGACAATCATCCCTGAGAAAAAAGTGGCTTAGCACTCAACAGGTAAGCTACAAACAGCAGAAATTTGTGTCAGTTCAAATTCATATCGCAGTCTAACATGCACACTGAGAACAAAATCAATGACTCTCATTTCACTTGGTAAAGCTTAAAGCCAAGTCTAAACACTGCATATTTTCATCATTCCAGATGACCAGAACACATTTCACAGGCCCTAAAAATACGTCTCTAAAAAAGTTAACAATACAAAACAGTTTGCATTATACCTATGCAAATGGCTACACACACCACCTTTTCAGGAGCACACTCTCGCATCTCCTCTCTGCTCTTTTTTGCCCTATTACTCCAAGCTTTGATGCAAGATGTTTCAGCTTCATTTATAAACAGGTCATTTTCACAGCTCATTGCAATCAAAGGTTCTTAATTGTTTCTCAAATATAAAACAATAATATTTACAAGTTATTCTGAGCATCTCAGAAAATGTGTTAAGACTGAAGAAAACGTCAGCTTAACTTCTGTTCTGGAAGTATCTTCACAAACTCATTTAGAGCAAGACGACTGTTTCGATTTGACGCAGGAAAAAAAAATAAAGAGCTAGGTGAGATACACAAACAGAAACTGGACAAAAATAGTCAAGTTATAGCAGTCAACCCATCACCAGGAAATGCATGGGAGGTCCCAAGACTTAGCTGTACAACATGTGCAACAGTCTTAGTCAGCAGAAAACAGGTTTTCTGATTTTTTTTTCCTGGAAACCTGCTGCAGCACTTGTAAAAGTTAGCTCTGTGTGGGCAGAACGCCAGAGGTGGCCTCACTGAGGCCCCTGGTGTCCCAGGCGGGACCGAACCACAACGGTCCCTTCTTCCGCCCTCCCCCAACACCGCCCTGGAAGCCCAGATTTACCAACTTCTCCCCTCTTCCTCCTGCCACTCCTTTTTTAATTGATATCTTCTAGTTCTTCCAACACTACTGAAGACAAATCAAGCAATACTTGTTGCAGATATATGAATTTATTGTAACACTGCATGCAGCACTGAGAAGTAAACAGGCCTTCTTATTCAGCAGAAGCAGTCGTGGCCGACTGAAATGTGATACAGGAGAAGTGATCTCTGCTGGCCGCGCTGAAGGTCAACGGAGCCTGCTGAAATTCAGCTTGTTCTGCATTGCCAATTAGAATGTGACAGCTCCTATTAATTAGCTGAGGTAATACATTTTTTCCTTATTTTAAGCACCCAAAAAATAGTCCTTCAGATTCTGCAGTAGCAGTTGATGACTCCTGCGTGTTAAAGGCATACAGCAAAAGGATTACTCATAAAATTCTTCCCTCACACCTATTTCAGACAGCATGAGAGCAAGGATGTCCGCAACATGTCCCAGGCAGGCAGGTGCAGAAGCCACAGTGTTTACTCCCCACTGCAGCACTTGGCCTTGTATTAAGTGCTCTTTTCTTGTTTGCTTTTGTCAGCTGCAATAACATGCCTGCAAGTGAAGGAGGCGAAAGCAGCTTCAAACCAATCCAGTACAAAAGTTGCTCCCTGCCAACCTCTACTCATCACTGATCAGAAGGTGGGACTACCTGTCACTTCATTCATGTATTTCATGACAAGGAATGAATAATAACCATATACTAAGTTTAAAGTTGAGAACATGCGAACCAGGCAAGGCAGAAAACACAAAGTCACCAACTTCAGATTGTTCTGTATTAAACATATAGGAGGATTCAAGGGCTAGTTTTATTTTAGCAGGACTTTCAACAGTAACATCAGTATGAAATAAGCTGTCACCAGCAGACTTTTAAACAGTATTTAAAAGCAAAGGAGACAGAAGCAGCTAAACTGCTGAAGTCTGCAGCTAAAAGCAGACAAACTTTTCAAAGGTTTGACATTACAGCTACCTCTTACTTCCTCTCGCACAGGACAGGCAGCCTGCAGTACTGTATCAGTCCCAGCTGGACCAGGATGGAGGGTTGTGCAACAGCATCCTCAGCACTGCCTCACTTGCACTTCCACAGCCCGGCTACTGAAAACCCGAGCTGGCCAACTGTAAGAACGTCCAGTGCAACCGTAACCTCTTTATGGGGTGCCATTTATTCCTTCCAGCTGCTGCAAGGATACTTGTTGCACAGTCTTACCTCAGGCTAAAACCAGTGATCACAAATATCAACATGATAGACTTGAAAGAAGAAGAGCTAAGAGAAAAAAAGACACAGCAAGGGAGCAGCTGTTACAGAGAACAGCTTACAGAGCACCCTCTGCATTACAGACCAAGCAGCCCCATCGGCTGAGAACGGCTTTCCGCAAGCTGAAAAATTAGCTTCTGAGGATGACTCATTAGTCTGCCAGTAATGAAATAATGAAGCATCTGGGAATCCCAGGGCTGCTACTACTGTTTTGTATTATCGCAAAAAGCAAGTTTGAGGGACAATGCCACATTCCCCCGAACGGCAGCATCTTACCCATTTTACTAAGACAGGTGAGCAAAGACTCTCCTCTTCTGATAGCACCCAAATTCATGAAGGTTTAGCCCCCTCTTTGTGAGGGGGAAGGTGGCAGACACCCCTGAGAAACAGAATTCCTTTGCAAAGGAACTGGATGAAGACTGAAATTCAGACATACACAGCAAACAGTCATCTACCACCTTGGCTGCCTTCACAACTACCACTGCCTTAAGGCCCCTGTAGAAAAAAAAAAATATCCAAGCTGGATCTTCCAATGTAGCCCACAAAATGCTAGGCTTGAATTGTTTAAAGACTCAGGTACACACATAAATCCTGTTTAGTTAAGGAAGAACAGGAGACAGTCAAGACAAACATCATAAAACAAGCACACACCAGAAGATCTTCTAGAAAGCAGTTTCCTCTTGTGCTTCTAACACTTGCTAGTTCTTTGTCGTGTCTCTAAAGCTCCCTCTCTATGGCATCAGATTATAAAATTAAAGTCACACAAAAACATAAGGAAGAAGTAAATTAAGTAACAGTTGCTCTGTACTAAAGGACTCAAAGTACATTGCAACACAGCAACATTAAGCTAGATATGGCTGATTTAAGCTTTGACTTGATTCTTTCTTCGCATGCAGAAACTACAGCAGCCTTCAGTTCGAATTTCTATAATTTGCAACAGCACAGAATATTCCTTAAGGATTCCAAAAATCCCACAAGGAAACAAAAAAACCCACACTTAAAAGACCCAAAACTTAAATAGTCAGTTCATCCCCTTCCCAAGCTACTAGTTAAATATAACCTCTACTTTTCTTAATCCCAAGAGATGAGCAGCAACCGCATACTTGCTTTTCCATAAACTGTGTCCTTTACTTCTTCCCTCAAACCTTATCCATGTTTTAAGACTGATATTAAGTAAAATATTGAGATTCCATATTAACAGGCGCAGTTCAGAAATTTTTATGGAAAGAGCAATTCTGCTCAGCATCAGTTAAGGTGTAGTAGATTCCACAGACACCACAGACCACTGACAATATTGATCGGGAGTCTACTAAGGGCTTCCCACTGGTGCTACTTCAGTTTCCTCAGCAGGATTCAGAGCAAAGTCACCATAACCAGATACAGTAAAATGTGACACTCCTGCAGTGACAGATCTCAAACTCCTAAGCCCAACTCCTGCTGTTCACTATATTCAAGAGATTTGTGATAGCTGCATACATCATACAGATACTTCTGCTACTACTAAAAGCTGGGTTTTAAAAGAGTTACCCATAAGCTCCTAACAGTTGGACCAACAACTGTAGTCAGATAATTTGCTTTGCAATTCTCTTCTGCTGCAGCTTTAATTTAGTTACAATACATTAATTCTGCAGAATCTTCTTTAATAAATGCATATATAAAATTTGAAGAGATTGGCCCAAAAAATTACTGATAAAAATCTAGACATATAGCACATATAATACCCAGAAAACATTTTTAATTCAACTTAATCAGTACAGTATCTCATACTGCATTTAGGTGACTTCCTGTATTAGCTGGATCCATGACATGTTCCTAGTTTTATTCCTCATTGGTTGCTATTTTGAGTTGCTCAACTGATACTAACTTTTAGACCTGTGTTCACCATGAAAACAGCTGAATGGGGGCAAGTGGGGGAAAAAAACATGGGCAGGGAGCCTGGTTAGTTATTTTGACTCAAATGGGAGGGTGGGCAAGGATTATTCCACTGTCCACTATCACCAAGAAAAAAAAGGTTTTCCAAAACATTATAGACTTAAGAATTTTAGTTCTTGATAGGCCAAAAGCATTTGGATAAAAATAAAAGTACATTGGATTTTTTAGTTAATACGATGCATGACATATATTTTAAGAAAAAGAGCCTGAGAGCAGACCTTAAGGCTTACTTACATTAATAAACACTTACCAGCAATTCAATACTTGCAACAATCACTTTCATAAATTACAACCTCATACTGGTGCCTATGCCACCTATCTCAATTTATCCAGCACATTAAGAGGAAATTAACACCAGCTGAACTGAGCTTTCATTTGTGTTTACCTATTATCCTATAAACCACAGTTTATAAAAACTAATATAGTTTTTTGAAGATGCTTGAAAAGAGACATAGTGTAACTCAGTTGATGAAGATTGCTAAATTATGTTTTTTAAATAGCCATTCTTTCTAGTAACTCCTTTTTACCTACCTTCAGAGGTTTTCCAGCGTTTCCACAGATCCTCAATGGTGATGTGTTTATCTTCTCTGTGTAGATGACTGTGTTTATTAGAGGCATCCTTATATTGCATATCTTCCCTTAAAAACTGAAGGAAAGGAAAAACATCATATTAAATTCCAATAGAGCAATCAATTTCTAAACACAGGCTGCAGGTGAATCAGGCAGAAGAGAACTGCTATTACTCCTCTCCGTACAAACGGCACACGATTCAAGCAAGTCAACCACTTCAGAGGCTCAAAAAGGAAATTAAGTAGTCTTTCAGGAAATGATTTTGCAATTAGATCCCAGGAAAACTGAAGCTTGTTGTTAGCACTACAAATTTGACAACACTAAGTCACTTAGATTTACAGTGATTTATCATGAATGCACCAAGTCATACTGCACACTTCTATGCTCTAAAGATATAAATCGATCATCTACTTGATGTCAAGCCCACATAAGATTTGAAGACATCCACAGTGCAAGAGTTTGTGGAGTCTCCTTCTCTGGAGATCTTCCAAACCCGCTTGGATGCAGTCCTGTGCCACGTGCTCTAGGTGACCCTGCAGGGGGGTTGGACTAGATGACCTCTAAATGTCCTTCCAATCTTAAGCATTCTACGACTCTATCCCAGTCCCTTCCGAATCCTGCTATTCCAGCTACATTGCTTATGACGGGATAAAGGTCAGCTACATTTAAAACTTTTTCATTAAGTAAAAAAAATTGAGTTCTACTTCATCAAATTAAAAAGTGTAGTTATCTTAGACCTATTTTTTCCTCATCAGAAAAGACCTGAACAGCTGCATTCAAAGCACAGAAGCATTACACCAAGCTATCTCATTCACAGTAGCTCACAAAAAGTCTCATCCGAAATACCAAGCTTTGCATGTTTGCAAACCATGTGACAAAAACAGAGATCTTGCAATCATGTCATATATACTTATGTTGTACCCCTATCAAACAAGTCACGAGCAAGTGGTTTCTCCCAATACATATGAGCAAAAAAGCCACAAAAATGCAAAATCCTTAGAGGATATCATCTTAGCTAGAGGCACTGTCAGGAAAAATGGCTGCCACAAACACCTAAGGAGTCCCATAAGTTGAGGAACACTGAACAGTCAGCAGTTGCCAGTTGCCCTTAGTTCCTGGGCTGGATTGCTGGTGGACGGGTGCAAGTTAAATTGCACTATTGCTACAGTTACTATACTCTAAATCAGTCCCTGTCATCCTCTCTCATCTACTTTTCTCCCCTTCTTTTTATCACAATGAATATCCCAAAGGTCTAGAATGCTTGCAATAGATCTTCCTTTAATAAGCATTGCTAGAAATATATATATACACACACGTGCATGTACACATGTGTGCATGTCTGCGTATATAAACACACGCATACAGTGTGCACCTTGCTCATCTCCAGGCTAAACAGTCCCAGTTTAGGGGTACATGGGAGACAAAGTTCAAACACAGACTCTTTGGTAGAATACAAGCCTGTCCCTTCCAGCATTTAAGATCTGCAACATTACCTAATTTTCAATAATTTCAGTCAAACAACTAATCTGTTGTTTCTACTGCCCTAATTTTCAATAATTTCAGTCAAACAGCAGTAGAAACAACAGATTAGTTAAGTCACTGTTCTGATCAAGAAGAAAATTTCGCAGCCTTTTCTCTGCGAGCGCTGGATGCCCACTGCTTCAAACAGGAAGGTCAGTTTTGCTGCACACACTTACAGGACAACTCATAAAACTGACCTTACTTTACATCATATCATTCATATAAGCATGTATCCCAAACCAGGTTGTTACTGCTTACTTCTGAAGTATCACAGTATTACATGGCCACAACTATAGCTGGAAATTACTTAAGTAATAGAAAAAAGGCAATGGAAAAAATTAGTAAAAGAGAATATTGCCCAGTAGTCAGGTTTGCGGAATAAAGAGAGGCCATTAGCACCGTTCCCATACTGCCAGTCACAGCAGGTGAGATGAAACAAATTCAAGTTTAAAATTACAGGTGTTGAAGAAGAATTTAAAATGAGCCAGGGGAATTTCAGTGTTCCCCACATTTGAAGTGATGAGCCACAAAACTGCAGATCAATGGCAGCACAAGCTGGGAAAGGCAGCGTGCGCATAAGGATCATTTGGAATTAATTTCTCAATTTAAATAGAAGCAGAAAATCTAGTGACGCACGAACAGCAAACTACTTCCATTTACCTAGATGGTCTGCAAGTAACTTATCAATATTTCTTCTTACTGATATGGTAGGTTTTCAAGATGTCCATTAACAACTCGGATCAGATCACACGGTCCCCTTCATAATTCATGTCATCCTTAGTTTCTGCTACTATGAACTAACAGGTTAGGGTGGCATTTTAATTTCCTTACCAAATTAGGACTAGAATTGGCTTTATTTTGCATATTAAAATAGTCAAAACTAGTTAGATCTTTGATATTCATCTTGCATTTCATAATTCATACTGCACCTAGTCAGCAACCTGCTTGAATGCTCTCAGCTTACAGATTCTTTGCTCCTTGAGCACTATAAAAGAGTCTCAAAATACCTATGCACCCCTTAGTACTATTTTAAATAAAGACAAAAGGCAAATTTTCTGGCCACATTCATGATTTGATTTTGATGAGTCGGACCTTCTCTGAAGAGAAGGTTAGAGCTGATGAAGGTTCCTTCCAACCTAAATTCTTCTACAAACTTAAAACCCTGGCTGTACAAGGACACATTTTTCCTTATGACCTCTTAATTCTTTCATTTTTTTGGTGTCAAAATCCTAACTACATAAGAGGGTGCTGGATTTGAGAGGGGTGGATTCAGCTACTGCCCAGACTACTTTAGTATTTTGAAAAACAAAAATCGTATTTACAGTCAAAATCATATTTACAAAATACATGAGAACAGCTCAAGACAGAAGCTTGTCTTGGGGCTGAGGCAAATTTCTAAGCACCATGGCCCAACTATGAAATGGGACACCACAGACAAAGGACTGATTCCTTACACTGTACACATGTCTGTACATACATACAGAAATACCTGCCCCATGTTCTCTGCTGCATGTTCCACAGTCCAAATTGGCACAACCAGTCCAAGGTGGGCAATTCTCACAACTACCATGCACAGAGAAGTCAGCTATCTCATTTTTCCCCCTCGAAAATTAGAAAAGACTAAACTGAAGAAAAGGCACTAACTAGTAAGAGGACAAAAGGTCATCTCTTTCAGCTACCATCTCTAAACCTGTCTAGATCAAGTACAACCTCACAGTCAAAGCAACGGGAAAAAAAACTGATGCTGCTTGACCTAGCTTTCCTCTCCAGTCTTTATGTACTTACTATCCCCAACATGTTCATTTGGGAACTTGCAATAAATAAATAAATAAATAAGTACTACGGAGACAATTACATTGTGAACTTCTCCTCTAAAGGCTGTCTCTGTCCATAAGAGGGTTAAGGCACATTTAACACTCATTCTTCGACTTGCTGGATGGTAATGCACTGACCCTGGACACTCCAGATGGCCGGTATGGTCATTTAATGGTCTTAAAATCAGGTGTCCTAGACTAAAGCTTTTTCTAAAGATGAACAAAACAGCACATATGTTGTGGCTAAAGGGGATTCAGACACATGTTGCATCTTCTTAGTTAAAGATGTCCTTCAGATCAGTTTTGCTCCTAAAAAACAAATCGGCTTTTTTTCTTTGCTGCTAATTGACAGCAAAGGGTATGAACAATCTTAGGACAAGAATATTTGAACAGGTACAGGTGCTATCAAGGAAAACATGCATTGCTGTTTAGAACTATGTAAAATCCTACATACTGGGATAGAAATAAAGAAGAGAAAGACGCCAAGGCAGAAAAGTCAAAAGCCTTCAAGATGTTACATCTCATCCCACAGCAGCATAAGGTGCTAGAAGAATGTGTTCTGAATTTAACTTATTTGAGTACCTAGACGAACAGCACAAAAAAACGTTTGAGCTCAAGTTGCAATGTTTCACATTGTTCTGCTGCAAAGCCACGAGAGGGAGCAAGAGCTAACACAAACTGATGTTCTCACAGCTGTGCCAGGAACACAGGCTCTGCTCACCACTTCAGAGAAGCAAATCTGCAAAGCTTGATTTCAAATGTCACCACACATACAGAAAACAAGCCTAAGTAACGCACAAAATGATTTGCTGGGAGGACAGGACAACAGTGTATAAGATCTGGTTTACACTGTGAGACTGTTTAAAGTATTTGCATTTCTTTATTCTTTTTCTCTTTTTGAAGGGCAAACTAATGCTCACAGAACAGAATCCCGACTTGTCTGCATTGAGGAAAAAAAAAAAAAAAAGACTTACTCCTCAGAGTGACTATGCATTTACATAAGATGTCTCCAAGATAAAAAGCCCCTCTTCTATTTGATCCAATGTAATTACTCCCATTTCCTGAGAAAAAAATCAACAATTTCTATATGTCCTGTAACGCCGGACTGACAACAGCAAATTTAAAGTGTGTAGTTATAAAAAAACAATGAGATTGTCCCTTTTCAAAGAAAGGAATGCACCTAATGAATGTAAGTACGATCAACAAGCATTACTTGCTTAGTATTTTTTCTTCCAAAGTTGGCCTAATATGGAAGGTCTCTTAAAACGAATTATGCCCTAAATTGAAGAAAGATGAAAAAACAAACACACGCTCTGATAAATTCTGATAAAGCAAAAAGATTTTTTTTTGTTGTTCCTTGCCATGGCAGCTAATCTCTCCTCCGTTGCCCTGGTCATTAAGCATACATAGAAGAGGTTAGAAAAATAACTCTAAATAAGGAGGTAAGAACAAATTCTGAGAGAAAGCATCTAAGGATTATCTTAGCCAACATAATTGCTCAAGAGGGAGCAGCCTTTTAAGACTACAAAGTTGAAACCAGTAAGGCAGATCGGCTACATAAAGACGATGTGAAACGATGAACAGCAATCAACTACCAAACCAGGTACAAAAAAAGTAATAACACACACACCACAAAACTGAGTTTTGATCCCCAAAATTACTGATCCCAACTGCTGTACTACTCGCTCGGTTCTCAGTGCAAAGCCCAGGACACAGGAGTGTGTGAGGCAGAACCGTCCTC